TCCATCAACCAACAAACCAACCAACCCATCCATCCATCCATCCATCAACCAACAAACCAACCAACCCATCCATCCATCCATCCATCAACCAACAAACCAACCAACCCATCCATCCATCAACCAACTAACCCATCCATCCATCAACCAACCCATCCATCCGTCCATCCATCCATCCATCAACCAACCCATCCAGCATCCATCCATCCGTCTGTCCATCCATCCGGCTGTCCATCCATCCGTCCGGCTGTCCATCCATCCGTCCGTCTGTCCATCCATCCGTCCGTCTGTCCATCCATCCATCCAGCATCCATCCGTCCGTCCATCCGTCCGTCCATCCGTGCGTCCATCGTCTATCCATCCATCCATCCGTCCATCCATCCATCCGTCTATCCATCCATCCATCTGTCTGTCCATCCGTCCGTCCATCCATCCGTCTGTCTGTCCATCCATCCATCCATCCGTCTGTCCGTCCATCCATCTATCCATCCGTCTTTCCATCCATCCATCCGTCTATCCATCCATCTGTCCATCCATCCGTCCGTCTATCCATCCATCTGTCTGTCCATCCATCCATCTGTCCATCCATCCGTCTTTCCATCCATCCATCCATCCATCTGTCCATCCGTCTGTCCATCCATCCGTGTGTCCATTCATCCATCCATCCGTCCATCTGTCCATCCATCAATCCATCCATTTATCTGTCTGTCCATCCATCCGTCCATCCATCCGTCCATCCATCCGTCCGTCCGTCCATCCATCCATCCATCCATCCATCCATCCATCCATCCGTCCATCCATCCATCAATCCATCCATCCATCCATCCATCCGTCCATCCATCCATCCGTGTGTCCATCCAGCATCCATCTGAAGGAATTGTTGGGGTTTTATTAAGTGCACTGATTATATTCACACCACACATAGTATATTTTGTTTTATGATAGAAGTGTAGTGACTGATCAATGTGATTTATAATTACCTGGATGATTCTATTTTTTATAGCTACATGCCTGGCACCGTATAACACATACTGTATGTGTACTTTTAAAATCATTAGGTTAGCTTTTTGATTGTTTGTGGGCATGTCTCTGACTAAAAATATTAGGGATCCCCTCCTAACAAATGACGTAATTAAGAGGCGGAGTCATGCCCTGAAGCTGGATGTTATATTCTCTCTCATTTCCTTGTTCGGGCTGATTCCTGGGAGGTATTAAACAGTTTATCAGCAGAGCGCTCTGGTTTCTGTATGGTTACTCTCACACTCACATTATATTGCAAATTCTCATGATTTCGCACACATCCTGGTAACGAATGTGTAGTAACGTTTATTTTCTTTTCCATCCATCTATCCATCCATCCCTCCCTCTGTGCTCATAATTGTTACTAATATCCACTGTGTTGTACGTAGCTTGTTGTTAGCATGGAGTAACCGTAGTGGTAGCACTGAACACTGGCGTTGAGTCTGGTGTACATCATCACACTCTGATGTAACGTATGTCGATCACGTTTTAGTCATATCTGTTGCTGAAACGTTTTCTGTCAACATGTATCGACATGGAATTATTATCTAGCACTTCCCCCTCTTCCTCTTCTCCTTATCTTCTCATCCTCTGTCACTTTCAGACCCCCCAACCTGCTCCACAGAGCAGTTCACCTGCTCGACAGGAGAAATCGACTGCATACCCATGGCGTGGCGCTGTGACAGCTATTCTGAATGCGATGACGGCAGTGACGAAGAAAACTGCCCCGTCTGCTCTGCCTTCCAGTTCCAGTGTGACGGAGGAAACTGCATCGAAGCTCAGAAACGCTGCGACGGTGAACCTGACTGTGATGATAAGTCTGATGAGCAGGACTGTGAAAGTACGTGTACACAGCTGTCAGCTCTTAGCGTAGTTCAAACAACACCTGACAGTAGCTGTGTTTCCATTGCAAATGTGCACAAAACTTTGTAGAAATTCTGTTAATGCTGAAAACACAGTTTTTCAACTGCGGTGTTTCCGTTAAGCAAGAAAGGCTATTAAAGTCACACGTGAATATGTTTGTTCTCGCGATAAGTCATTACAAACATGGCGGCAATGGATGTAAACACATAGCATGCTGCTACCATGACACTAGCGCTCATCATCAGAGAAGACGTCGGCGTCTTTTATTGAGGCTTACCAGCAACAAGCCCCTTATACTTGGGAGTGGCTACGTATCCTGTGTTTTTGGGAAATTGTAGTCGGTGAGTTTAATACTTTCTTTTACTACTTTGGTGATACTACTACTACTTCTACTTCCTGTTATCTTCTTCATCGTCATCGTCTTTTAGCCAGTAGAAACAGCCGGTTCTGATCACGTGACTCCCATGATGTGAAAAAAGTGTTTCAATTGCAGTTTTGCGAAACACACCAATTTTGATACGGCCAAAAAACCACCTCATCCTAGCACAAAAACATTTTGTTGAAAGAAGGAGTTTTTTTTTCTCTTTTCCGAAATTTACGTGTTTCTATTGAGCAAATTTATTTTCAAAATTCTAATTTGCGCATTTTCATGGTCAATGGAAACACAGCTACAGAAATAAGATCAGCATTCTGTGTTCTGCCTTTGATTTAGGCTGCTGTTACAGAACTAATAAATACTCCACAGAGCCATGAGGGATGTTTTTTATTGTCCTTTCTGTGGCCTTATTGCATAAAAAACATAAAATGAGAAGTTTCAAATAAAATATAGATCCCTGCAGTTTTTATCTCAGCAGCAATAACAATAAAATAAATAAAACAAATAAACTATAAAACTCTGCTGCTTGATAATAGTTTGGATGCTGAAAACAGACTAAAGGATGAGCCTGAGTGGGTGCGTCCACTTCCACCTGCCTGTTAATACATAAACAGGTGGACTGGAGGGCTTTGGTTTAAGAATCTGAGCATTTTGGACTCAACATGTGATAAACTGAGTGTCCATCTGTCCCTCTCTGTTCCAGCCATCTGCACCTCGGCCCAGTTTCGCTGTGGGGACAACCAGTGCATCACTAAGAAACAGCAGTGTGACAATTACTCTGACTGTCTCGATGGATCTGATGAGCTCTCTTGTGGTAACGTCAACAAAAGGATTATCAAATAGAAGTTTTTATTTTTATCACCCGCCGTTAAAAGGCCCTCTTATATATTTCTTCTGTTTCTGATTTTGTTGTCACACTTGTTTCAGATCATCAAACAAAGGTAACCTGAGTAAAAACAAAATGCTCTTCTCGAATAAAAGTCACATTTATAAAGGGACAAAGCTATCCAAACGATTGAGGATGTTTATTATCAGGATGATTTGAATAATAGTGAAATCATCATTTAAAAACTGCAGTTTTATATTTACAGTTTTAATATTAACACTTATTTTAGGATCAAAAACCTAGAAATATGACAAATAAAAACAGACTAAAATATGGGATAAATCTTGTGCCAGCAGGAATTGAATTTGAATTGCTCAGACTGGGCCTCATGCAAGAACATGTTCGTATTCTTCTCCTAAATTTCTCTTACTTTTGTTCGTATGAAGGGTTCGTACGAACATGTCACGTCAGATTCAACAAACTCTTCTATCTTCAGGAAAAGTGTGTAAATGAGCTGCGTRAATTCCACCTGTTCGTATCCAGCTGCTCGTGCACGCGAGGGGAGATTAGCATAATTACCACCCCAAAAACACCATATAAGGATATGTTTCCTGCCCCACATACCAGGAAGTGTCCATTCATAAATGACTTCGCAAAGTAAAAAAGAAGATTTACGAGTTCAGAGATTGTAATCGTGCTCTCCGAGATCGAGAAAAGAAAATCTGTTCTCTTTAGCAGCGTCATATGGAATTAAAGGAGCTGCTTAAAGGAATGAAATGTGCTGTTAATGTGTCTCCTGTGGGTCGTTACAGTCACAGAAATAAAAATCTTAATCATATTCATCTCTCTCTAGTCCAGCTCCGGTTTTTCCTTGGTCAAATATTTTTAATTTAAGTGTAAACAACTGTGTTACTGTGTTTACATTAACGAAGTAAATAACATCAATAACATCACATCATGGATCAGTCAGCAGCAGCATCTTATCAATATGTGATCCATGATGTGATGTAAATGTAACATTTTCTATAAGTAAAATTAATCACTGCATTAAAATAACCTTGTCTGTTTTTGTTACTTTTACACTTTTACAGTGGATTGAATCAACTCTGTTACATTACAGAAGGGAAAATTCACCGAAGTGAAACATAAATCTGTGGATTTGTGTTTGATTACTCTGGCTGGCTTTCTCAAGGACCAGGATGTGACACAAAAATATGAATTATGAAAGTGAAAGTAGTCAAACTGAGTTTTTAACAAACCAAAATACAGTTTCAAAGCAAATTAATTCAGATACAAAACTTTAAATTCAGTTTAAATTCAGTGAAATTTATTTTCAAACCAGTGCATTCACTTTCAAATTATTCACATTCAGATTCAATCTGAGCAATTCAAATTCAATTCCTGCTGGCACAAGATTTATCCCATACTAAAATCAGTTCTTCATATGGGAAGAGAAACTAGAGAATAGAAGTTCTGTTGCTTCATTTTTAAAACTTTTAAGATTTGCCATGCCCTGGCTGACTGAGATTCTGCACCAAAATGGATTTTTCATTCTCCTCATTAAATGTTTTCTTCTTTTTGTTTAGACTACATCTCCACTTCTTCAAGCTTCGTCCCCAGCTATGAACCTACCAACCCCATCGGTCCAGTCATTGCCATCATCCTCCTGGTGTTTGTGATGGGCGGAGCTTGCTTCGTCTGCCAGCGTGTGGTCTGTCGACGTTATAAGGGCCCTAATGGGAGCTTTCCTCACGAATACATTAGTGGAACGCCTCATGTGCCCCTGAACTTCATCACCCCGAGCAGCTCTCAGCATGGTACCTACCAAGGTTGGATCAGCACTCTGAAGTCCTACAGCTAGAAGAATATGTTGTTGTTCTAAAGGTGTGTAAAATGTGTGCAGGAATCTCCTGTGGAAAGTCCATCATGAGTTCAGTTAGCTTGATGGGCAGCAGCGGCAGTGGAGCTCCTCTTTATGACAGGAACCACGTGACTGGAGCTTCATCCAGCAGCTCCTCGTCTACCAAAGGAGCCTTCTACCCTCAGGTACAGAGAGAGACTCACACAGTGTTTGTTGTTTGGATCCCAATCAGATAATGGACATTTAATGTTCTGTTTGTAGATCCTGAATCCTCCTCCATCGCCGGCTACAGATCGCTCTCTCTACAACGTAGAGATCTTCTATTCCTCCAACAGTCCATCCACCACAAGATCATACAGGTCCATGCTCTTGAAATCCTTCTTGTAATGAACATAGTTATCTCTTGCTTTGAAGGGAACCTCGACTAGTTGTAACATTACATATTATCTGATAAACATTTACTTCAACTACAAAACAAAGACTGTAAAAATACTGTAGACTGTTTAGTTTTTATACATTTAAAAATATATATCTTTACACAGACAGCGCCATATTACTTTGATTTTCGATTTGATTTATTTATTATTTATTTAACAGGAAAAGGTAATTAAAAATCAAGCCTGACTCAGCATAATTGCTGTTTTACAGCAGGTTCCTGTTCTGCAGCACATAAAACACTCAGAATTACAGCATCACAATCACATCATTATACACCATAGACACAAAGACAAACAAGCATACCAAATTTCAGGAAGGCAGCATTTGCAAAACAAGACGTCTAAATATGAGCACAACGGAAAGTGTCCAGCAGATGGCAGACAAGATTCTTCTTAAAGGGCTGTAGTTTTGAAATGGACTTTATGTTTTGAGGAATGTCATTCCATGCTTTAGTATAAACATAGAAGAAAGACCTCTGGCCGTAACAGTTTTTAAAAGTTGGTAATGTCAGTTGTCCTTTTGTAACAGATCTGGTTGAATGACCACTTCCAGAATTTACCTGGTAAATTATGATGTTTACTAAGTGCTCTGGTGCGAGGCTGCGAGCCCTGTCCACCCTGAAGGTTGATCTTGGACAATATCCGACTGTTGTGGAAATCTTTATTTTACCTAGACAGAAACATGAGATCCAAGAATAAAAAGTACTCCGTGAAATGGTCAACAGGATTTATTGCAACAACAGGAAACACAGAGAACAACATAGAGCCATTGAACTGTAACCCTGCTCTCTGCTCCTGTTTCTTCTTCTCTGAGGCAGTTGAGGCCTCATATATACTGTTTAACAAACACCATTATGTCATCTTAATAAAGCAAGATTTCATCTTAAGGAAATGCTGGGTCAAGGGAAAACACAAAGATAAACACAAGTGATATCTATGAATGACTGTTGTTAGCAAATCTTGTTCTGACTTTAATTATTCTATCTGCAGTTAAACAGCATGTCATGAAAACCTAGGTCATTAAAGTATGTCATGAATTACTGGCTTAAACCTAAAAGTATTAGTTCCATTACACTCTCCCCCATCTGATCATTAAATGATAAAAAAAAAAAAAAAACAACTCTTTAATATGTTAAAAAATTATGTCAACACAAACATAAGTATATGTACTTTTCTTAAATCCCAACCCCAGTAATAACCCCTGTATGTATTAGCTCGGCGCTAACACTATTTTGCCATTCTGTGCAAGATTACCCTTCATGGTGGATACAACTCGCAGCCTTGCACCAAAGGAAATAAATAAATCCTTGCACCTGTGGATAACGTAGTGAATGCATCATTTACCCATCATGCTTTGCAGCATAAATAATATGGTGCAATATGAGTGACAATATTTTTTTAGAATTGATTATTTATTATTATTATTACAGTTGTAAATATTTATCAAATGTCTAATATTACAAGTGTTGAGGGTTTTGTTTGAAGGTGAAACAGCTCGTGTCTGACAGTAATTTGCTCTGGTAGCAGCTGAGAGACATTCCAACACAGACTAACAGATTGAGCATAACTTTATTTCAAAGATGAAGGCTTGAATCCTCAAATGTCTCTCCTTTTTTACCCGTTAGACCCTACCACCCGGTTCGTGGCGCCGCCCCGCCCACCACCCCCTGCAGCACAGACGTGTGCGACAGCGACTACACCCCCCACCATCCTCCGGCCGGGCTGCTGTCCTCAACGAGTCGCTGGAAGGCCTCGGGCCACGCCGGCCACGGCAAACCCAACAAGTACTACATGGACCTGAACTCAGACTCTGACCCATACCCTCCCCCTCCCACCCCCCGCTCTCAGTACATGTCAGCCGAAGAAAGCTGCCCCCCGTCCCCCTCTACCGAACGATCCTATTTCCACCTCTGCCCCCCTCCTCCCTCGCCCTGCACCGACTCCTCATGACCTTCTGTCACCTCCGTCAGGTAGAAAGGGATGAAGTTGAACTCGCTGGCTCGGTCCCGCCCCCCCCCTTTGTTAGGGGAAAAACTTTGAGCTGCCTCTTCTGTGCCACTTTACGCAGGCGGGTCTGGATTAAGTGCCTCGCTAAATGTCACCCATAAAGCCAGTCTTCCCTGAGATCTCGGCGTGAGGATGTACCGCGCCGAACAAACTGAAACCTGTGGGAGGCTGGAGCTTCAAAGCCCCGTCCCCTCCGCCTCACGGCTCAGGAAGGAGATAAACACGTTCAGCCAGCAGCTCCTTCTTTCACTTTCATTCCGTTGAGAGAGGAAGACTTATTTTCTTCTCCACCTGATCGTCCTTTCAAAACTGGATTGTTAAATCCTGAGGGCTGAACTCACCAGCAGGAAGTTGGTCAGTAGATGTTGGTGCTGTGAGGCTAAAGCCATGGGCCGCCGCGCCCCCCCCAGCTTCACAGTGTTACAGACAACCAGCAGAGGGCTGGATGCTTAGTGAATATACAAACTTCATGGCTGAATACATGAGGAGGACTGAGTGGACTGGTAGAATACGGTCCAAAAACCATGAACTGTAAAGCACATTTTGTCTCTTCATGTTGGAAACAGCTCAAACTGCTTTTAGGGAATAGTTAACCTCACTGAAGTGGTAATCTAAGGTAAGAGAAGTTATTAATTAATATCTTACCTGCAGTGGTGGGCACAGTTCTCCTAATCTGCTATTATTGGAACTGATAATTTGATGAGTCATTTAGCATTTGCTTTAATTTCATAAACTAGTAACAGACTTGATTCATGCTAAATTAATCAGGGCTGCAACGATGCAGGAAATTCATGATTCGGTTCGATACTTTAGTCTCACGGTTCGATAATTTTTTTGATACAAAAAGAGAAATGTCCATGCTCTTCATTAATTGTAATTTATTTATATTAATTATGAACTTTTGTTTAACCTCAAAAGTGCAGTTTTTAAATTAATTGTTGCTGAAACAGCAAATTTCTCAGTGGATCTGAGCTCAAAAATGCAGCCTAGGTGGAGTAGTCGAACACAGATCCACTGATCCTTCAACACAGAGCATCTTCAGAAGACAAGTTGATAAAATAAATTTGAAAACATCTGTATTGTTTGATATGTAGTGTGTATTGAACCTAAAGCACTGTACTGAATGGTTCCATACAGATCCCCTATAATTTAATTTTTTCTTTGCCACTAAAAACGTTATGTGTCGCCACATCTTTGAAATATGCAACAATATTGACTTTCACATGAAGCAGAGACATGACACAGTGACATCATTCTGGAGCTGAGAACATGCATGTCAGTCGTCCCTCTCCTCTCAAATACAGACCAGATACGTCTGACTCATCATGGTTCAGTTTACAGGCAAAACAAAAAAGAAAACATTGTTCATGTTGACACATGAGTGTCAGCAAGTGTAAGTGGACGATAATGAGTTAAATTTTAGCAGTTCAGCTTTAATTTTTGCCTGGTTTTTTTTTTGTCAATTTAGCTTTTTATCGTTTGCATAACTAAAGAATTTGTGTAGCGGTTCAGATATTAGTTAAGCTAATATTTTGGTTAGCTGTGTCCACCACTGCTCGCCAGTTTGAAATGGGTCTCAGTTTGGAGAAATCGTTTAATTCTGACAAGAAGTCCAAGCAGGCCTAACACCAACACAGACTATTAAGAAAAAAAAAGTTAATTGTCAATTCTGCATTACAGGTTTAGCTATCTGTATGTGGGAGACTGTCATGCTAGCATAAATAGCATGTAGCATTTCTGGGGCATCCCGAGGGTCATCTCCTCGCATGGAAATCTTAAAATTCCTGCCAAAATAACCATGTTTCAACTTGGATTTGTTCAGATTAGCACTTGTTAGCTCTATTCTGTCAGGATTAAACTCCGTTTCTCCAAACTGATGACATTCAAACTTTATCTACAGCAGGTAAGATGTTACGTGATTATAACTTTAAAACAGAAACGCACTTAAAACTGTCATCTCTTCAGGAATTTAAAGCTTTCTACGATCATCAGCGGTTCAGACCCAGCATTCAAAGCGAGTGTAAACCTGTAAAGCTATTGTACATATGTGTAATGAAGTCTGAGTGAACTCTTCTCATCATGAATCTGAACCTCTTCCATCACTTCTTTAACCTCATCATCCCGTTTACCAAAAGTATGTTTGCTGCTATCGTGTACATAGTCTATAAGATACATGTAAGTACAAAGAAAGGCCAAATTATTGTTCTCATTCTGACAGTAGGTCGTGAAGCTGTCTCTCAGTAACAAATTATTCCTATAGCGACTTGTGTTATTTGTATTATCTTTTGTGTTGGATCCTCGTGTAGTTTTCTGTTTGGTTTGAAGGAGTCCTGTAGGCCAGAATCAGCTGAAGGTTTTAGTTTGATGCAGGTGGAACTTCCCTTATTCCTCTCCTCTCTCTCTTCTGTTCATATATTTATAGCCCCGACAATAATCTCATGAACCGTCTGGAAGCAAATTGTTTTTTTAATCCAACGAGCACTTGTAGCAGTCTGAGGTCTGGAGTTCTGTTGCTCATCTGTGGATCCTTCAAACACTACAAAACCAAAACATTTCCTCTCTTCATGTTTTGTAAAACACCTGAGCAACTTCTGGAGGGTTTTTGTTTTTGCTTCCCAGTTGAATTTGAGGGTCCCCAAAACCTCTGTTTTTTTTCTCACTCTTTTGATATTTATATATAAATATTAGGTGTGTGACTGTGTATTCATACTGAACCATCACAGCACAGCTGGTAAGAAGGGGTACACATGTCAGATATGTACAGCGGGTAAAATAAGTATTGAACACGTCACCATTTTTCTCAGTAAATATATTACTAGAGGTGCTAATGACATGAAATTTTCACCAGATGTTGGTAACAACCCAAGTGATCCATACATACAAAGAAATCAAACCATAAATGTCCAGAAATGAAGTTATTTGTAATAATGTGGAATGGCACAGGGAAAAAGTATTGAACACACTTACTGAAATTTATCTAATACTTTGTACAAAAGCCTTTGTTGTCAATGACAGCTTCAAGACGCCTCCTGTATGGAGAAACTAGTGGCATGCATTGCTCAGGTGTGATTTTGGCCCATTCTTCCACACAAACAGTCTTCAAATCTTGAAGGTTTCGTGGACGTCTTCTATGAACTCTGATCTTTAGTTCTTTCCATAGATTTTCTGTTGGATTCAGGTCAGGTGATTGGCTGGGCCATTCCAGCAGCTTTAGTTTCTTTCTCTGAAACCAACTGAGAGTTTCCTTGGCTTTGTGTTTGGGCTCATTGTCTTGCTGAAATGTCCAGCCACGTTTCATCTTCATCATCCTGGTAGATGGAAGCAGATTTTTATCAAGAATGTCTCTGTACATTTTTCCATTCATCCTTCCTTCAATTATTTGAAGTTTGCCAGTACCATATGCTGAAAAACAGCCCCACACCATGATGTTCCCACCTCCAAACTTCACTGTTGGTATGGTGTTTTTGGGCTGATGTGCAGTGCCATTTGACCTCCAAACATGATGTGTATTCTGGCATCCAAACAGTTCAATGTTGGTCTCATCTGACCAGACTATATTCTCCCAGTATTTCACAGGCTTGTTTAAATGTTGTGCAGCAAACTTTAAAGGAGCTTCAACATGCTGTTTCTTCAGCAGTGGAGTCTTGCATGGTGAGCGTGCATACAAGCCATGGTGGTTCAGTGCATTACTTATTGTTTTCTTTGAAACAATCGTACCTGCTAATTCCAGGTCTTTCTGAAGCTCTCCACAAGTGGTCCTTGGCTCTTGGACAACTCTTCTGATAATTCTTTTCACTCCTCTGTCAGAAATCTTGTGAGGAGCACCTGGTCGTGGTCGGTTTATGGTGAAATGATGTTCTTTCCACTTCTGAATTATGGCCCCAACAGTGCTCACTGGAACCTTCAGAAGTTTAGACATTCTTCTGTAACCGATGCCATCATTATGCTTTGCAACAATAAGGTTGTGAAGGTCTTGAGAGAGCTCTTTACTTTTACCCATCATCAGATGGTTCTTGTGTGATACCTGGCCATCATTTGGGACTGAACCAGCTGATATTAACTTGCACTGACAAGGGGCAGGCTTGCTTTCTAATTACTGAGAGAATTCAGCTGGTGTCTTGTCTTTCCATGYCTTTTTACACCTCCCTTTCTTCATGTGTTCAATACTTTTTCCCTGTGCCATTCCACATTATTACAAATAACTTCATTTCTGGACATTTATGGTTTGATTTCTTTGTATGTATGGATCACTTGGGTTGTTACCGACATCTGGTGAAAATTTCATGTCATTAGCACCTCTAGTAATATATTTACTGAGAAAAATGGTGACGTGTTCAATACTTATTTTACCCGCTGTATGTTTTGTTTAACAGTCATAACAAAAAAAGGAAAATTCTAAACAAAAAACAAGCAGAAGCTTATGAGATGTTCAGGAACAGCAAGCAGTTTTGCCATTTATTACAGAACTGGAAACCGCTGTGGCAGGCCATTTGTGTATTTGGTAACTCTGATGTGAAACTTCAGCTTCTTTAAGTTCTGAGTCAGTTTTATTATTTTCACAACCTTAGGTGTTTCAAGTGAAGTTGATGGCATTAATCAAACTCTGTGTTGAACACAGGTTTACAGATCAGACTGGATGAAAAATAGTAAAAAATATTCTGACTTTTATTACATCAAATTTAAAATAAGTTGGGACTGCTTGTAAAATACACGTAAAAACAGAATGTAATAATTTTGCAAATCTCAAACTAATATTTTATTTCCAATAGAACATAGTAAACATTTCTTTGGATTGTTTTGTTTTACGGTGCATCAAATGATTTTAACTCATAAGAGGTGTAGGTCGGTTCATCACCAGAACTCTTAGATTGTGAAGTCGTGCAGATGAAGGTTTATTCAACAAAACTTTTGCTTTCACGTTGTTTTGCTTACATTTGCATGACTTACTATAAAACAGACATCATATGGATGAGAGAATTTATTGCTCTGACTTCAACCTGTATAAATGATGGAGCCTCATCAGGTGTGTTAGCTGTCCATGCCACTGGCATTAAGGCACCACCATACCATCAGAGAGGCAGGATTTTCAAAACACACCCAATTTTCCATTTAAGAATATTGTTTTAAAAGTGTTGTACTAATTTTTACAAACTGGTGAACCTCTGCCCATCTCCAAAACAATGATGTCAAACTCACTTTCACCAAACGCCACATGAGCGTTATGGTTCAGCCTCTAAGGTTGTAATAAATGTCCATGTTTCATGTTTAACGCCCAGAGGTGTCAGCACAAATACAAAAGCCACAACACAAATACAAAAGCTACAACACAAATACAAAAGCTATAACACAAATACGAAAGCCACAACACAAATACGAAAGCCACAACACAAATACAAAAGCCGCAACACAAATTTCAAAAGCCGCAACACAAATTTCAAAAGTCGCAACACAAATTTCAAAAGTCGCAACACAGCTGAACATGAAACTTCACATTTCTCATCTCGTTGCTACAGCTGAGCACTGCT